GGCACCTCTTTCTTGGCCCCTCCTTACCCCCATTTATAAAATAGGGGTGTTGGTTTAGATCACGGGTGCCAGGCATGCACATCCTGCCATCCGATGCCCACGGCAGACATTGCTAGTGGGTCACACTCTCTTGCTGATGCTCCTTTGTCACAGCCCCTGCAGGAAAACAGCCCCAGTCCTGGGGCCCCACTGCCACCCCCTCTTTAGATGTTTTCTTCCATCTCCCAGGTCATTCCAGGCCACCCCCAGCATTGTAGAGCCGGGAAAGGGCTTCCAATTTGAGAAATGTTGTGGGCTCATTGGCGTATAAACAACAGAACTCCAGATGGAGTGAGAATGGCAGAGAATTCCACGAAAACAGCACTGTCCTCATTCCCAAGCCTCCTCCCAGTGCCCTCACAATGACTGACATATCTGCAAACCCCGTCCTATATATTCTGAATTCAGCGTTTTTCTCCAAATGGACTCACTTTTTTACTTAAATTATTTTTAAGGGGAAACGTTAGCTGTCTACCATACGTGGAAAACCAAAGCACTTGCTAGAAGTAGGAAACTAAATATGAAGGAAAAAGCAAATCAATGCATGGAAGTTTTTCCTGGCCAGTGTTCCTGCCCTGAGGTCTCCTGTCCCTTTAAGAAAAGAGACCTAGTGAAGAGGGTGTTGAAAAGCCATTCTTGCTAGCTTTCTGAGCCAGCTTGGGGCATGAAGGGGATGGCAGAGACTAGCTTACGCTCTATGGCATTCCTACAATTTAGTGCTGAGTCCCTGTGTCACCTAAAGCCAACACCTTCATTCCTAGAGACATAGTGATTAAGGAAAGACTATCTATCACCTTGAAAAACCCTTGGACCAGACCCTTCCCCTCCCCCACTCCCAAACCTTCCCCCCAAAATCAAACCTCTGGCCTCTGCGACAGGTGACCAATGTGACAGCCCCACTTGTAACTAATAACCAGCCCTCCCCCCCCCAAAAAAAAAAGATTTGCAAAGCAAAGTGAGATGGGAGGACATTCCCTCAAGCTTCAGAGGTTTTATTCAGGAGCAAAAACACCTTCTCATGTTTTCAAGCTGACATGATGAAGTCATATGAGATCACAGCGTCCCTGAGGCCTGGGGTGGGGCAGCAGCTGTGTCATAGCCTCCCACCCGGGGGCTGGACTTCTGGGGCCCATCCCAGAGCTGTGGCCATGGGCAGAGAACCGGGCCAGTGGGTTTGCAAGCACAGGTCATGTCACTTAACCAGAGCTGCTGGGGGAATAGGGGGGCTCACCCCACTTCTGGTCCACTGCTTAACTTTGCCCAGGCCTAGCTCTTGGTGTTTTTCAAGGGCCTCTAAGCTTTGTGCTGATGTAAATCTTAATTCGTGGATGAACTGACCCTTTGGCTGTTGTCACGTGGAAATGGGACCTAAATTTCTGCATGCTTAATGGGGGCCCTCCAGGCACTGGCAGCACCCCCACCCCGTTGGGCTGGGTTGGACCTTCGGAGGGAGGTGAGAGTGAAGGGGTTAGGAGGCATTCGTCGAACATTCTCCCTCCAGTCCCAGCCATAAGCAGAGATTCTAACCAACATAGATTCCATTTCTGGAGCTTTAAAAATAAATTGCATTCGGTCTGTATAATTGCCCATGAGGTAGAAAAGACAAGCATCTTTTTGGGTTTTTGTGGTTTTTTAAAAGATTTTATTGGGGGATTGGGGGAGGAGAACAGTGTTGGGGAATTGTGGAAGGGGAACAGCCAAGTTGTCCTTCAATCTTAGTTCTGGAGGGTTGAGTAAAATGCTGTGGCCAGAGGCTCGCAGGACCCTAACCCTCTATTTCCCCTAGAAGCAGTGGTCCCGTATTTGCTCAGTGTTCCCGATGACTTTATAAAACATGACTACTACAAATGATATATGCACGTGAACACACACACACACACACACACACACACACACACATTTATATGCAATGTATATAATTTGGGGGGCGGTTGAGGTTACATTGTATTAACCTGTTCTTTTTACCTATGTAGTGCCTGAACTTTTCCCTGAACATCACACAATTTTTTTAGTTGCACAAAAACCCTCTTAACATCAAAAGGGGAATTCATGGGACAGCCCAGGCCCCTGTCATGTGTCATAGAAACCATGGGTGGACCGGCGGGCCCTGGAAGCAGACATAGACTATTGGCAGAAGGCAAGCAGGGCTCTCCCTGCCTCTCTGCAGACCAATGCCTGTCACAAAGCGTGCCTTTGTGGCTCATGATGGTGGCGCAGGATGGAGCCGACATGCTTAGGTCTGATTCCAGATTCCTGAGAGAGCCTGATTGGCCTGCCTGGGTCAGGCAACCGTCCCGGGGCCGGTCAGCTGTGGCCATGGGACAGGCAGGACAGGTGGTGCTTCTCAAGTGCAGGGTCTGCAGATGAACTCTGGGCACCTGCCCGAGGGCTTCTTTCTGTCTTCTAAAAGCAGTCTGAGTTGAAGAAAAGGGGCTTCTGGAAGCCCCAGGACAGGGCGGTCCTCAGAGGACAGGGGTCACTGTGACCTAGGCCACAAGACACCTAAGTCCATCCTGGAACAGATGGGGTTCTCTGACTGCTCTATGGCAGCTCCTGGCAAGGGTCAGACTGACCCGGGACTCCCTTGGACGGTCCCCAACCCTAGGTAGCGGGGGAAAGGCCAGGGCAGCAGAAGCCCTGGCACCACACAGGCGCATGGGTGTGGGGGCCAGACACGGAGCTCCCCTCCGCTCAGGCTGAGGCCCAAGGGTAGGAGGTGAGAGTGCACTCCCCACAAACACCCGTGGGGAGAGGACAGGACCCTGACTTGTCCAGCAGCTAGATGAGCTGGGCCTGCATACCCAGCACCGTGGAGGGGCAGTCCCTCTGCACCCCAGAGGGACCCAGAGAAGAGGCAGGGCCCTGGGGAGGTGGGGAGGTGGGGAGGGGTGGGGGCTGCGGGAGGCTCATCTGTAGAGGCAACGAGCAGAGACGAGGTCTCCCTCAGTTTTATGTGCCCATGTTGAGCTCACAGTGATGATGATGATGATAGCTTCTCTTTATGGAACATTTATCACGTGCCAGACACGTGCTAAACACTCTACATGCATATTCTCGTTTAATCATCACCCCAGCTCTAAGGTTGATACTAGTATGATCCCCGTTTTTTACAGAGGAGGAAGCTGAGAGGCACAGAGATGAAGCCCTTTCCCCAAGACCACACAGCTAGTTGAGACGGAAGCACTCTGGGCTGCCTGAAGCCCTGCACGCCACAGCCTCCCTGCAGGCACTCGCAACAGCTAGAACGAGTGGGCACCTCCCCGCTGGCCCACAGGCCAGCCGTGGCCCAGCTGCTGGGGCAGGGGCAGCCAGGCCAGCGGGGCTGGACGTAGCCTGGGCCCGAGTCTCTGCACTTCGTATGCTGTGACCTCAGGCGAGTCACTGCACTGCTGAGCCCCGTCCTCAGCTAGGAAAACGTGGGAAGTGTGAGCCGGGCCTGCAGGCTTGTGGGGATTTGGGAGAAACCCAGACCCAGCCGCCCGCCCACCTCTACTCCACAGCTCGCCCCTCGCCACCAGTTCACCTCCTCAATGACTTAGAGGAAGTGAAGAAACCCAGGACTTCTAGCCCTGGTGACACTGAGCCCTCGTGGAAACCCCGGGCCTGGGGAGCCTGGACTCTGAATCACACAGGCCCCGCTGCGGAGGTTGCACAAGAAGGGATTTCGGTGGCGGCTGATTCCCGTTCAAAGCCTCCTGCGGGGCAGCAGGAGGAAACCCTGTGTCCCTCAGACATCAATGTGGTCTCTGTCCTTCCTCATTCCCAGACGGAGGGAGTCCCAGCTGCTCCCGGAGACTTGTTGCTCTGGGCAGAAGTGTGGGGGAGGGGGTGATGAAGCAGAACAGTGGGCAGAGAGGACGGCAAAGGGGTGGGACGACCTGACAGACACAGCCAGGCTCTCTTCCCACAGACCACAGGCCTGCCGAGGAGAGCCATTCCCATCTGTGAGGGCTTGACCTCCGGGCGTCTGGATTTCTTCCTCATTTATTCCCAAAGCATAGATTTTCCATTGTGCTCAGCACTGGACATCCAACACTCAGTGAACAGGACAGGCATGGTCCCTGCCGTCATGAAACTTAGACCCTAGTGGGAAAGCATACGCTCAGGCAATTGCAGTCAAGTGTAATTGACGGTGGTGAGGAAGTGGGTGCCAAGGAGACCCAGCCTTATATTGGTGAGGAGGGAGCAGTCAGGGAGGGCTTTCTGGAGGAAGTAACATTTGCGCTGTGCCCTCTTAGTAGACTTGTGGAACATCCCACTTTCTGGATTTGTCTGATGGTTTCTTTCTGGCGTCATTCAGTTTGTTCCTCTGTCTCCTATATTTCCTATCAATTGGAACTTAGGTCAAGAGGCTTGATTTCAGGTTAAACATTTTGGTGACAGTACTCGTGTTTGCCAAAAGATATTGCATCACCCCAGGGCCACACCATGTCTGATGATCCCTCTATTGGTGATACTAGATTGATCACCCGTTTAGTTGTGGCTGCCAAATTTCTTCATTGAAAAGGTACGTTTTTCCCTTGCTGGGAGTGTAACCGTGGGCTGATAACTTGCACACCAGGTGACAATTCTTTTCCCAGCAGCATTTCACCCAGTGGTTCGGTGCCCACCAAGGGCTTTCCCAGAGTGGCTCTGCCACCTTGCCTTCCCACCGGCAATGTATAAGGGTTCTAGTGGCCCCACATCTCTGTCAGCACCTGTTTTTGTCAGTATTTTTTCATTTTAGTCATTCTAAGTAGATGCATGGTGATGTCTCAACGTGGCTACAATTAGCTTTTCTCTAATGGCTAAAGATGCTGAACATCTTTTCATGCTTATTCACTATTCATATATCCTCTTTGATGAAGTGTCTGTTCAGATCTTTTGTCCATCTAGTAACTGGGTTGGTTGTTTCCGTAGTGTTGAGTTTTGAGAAATTTTTAAATGTATTCTGGATATAGGTTCTTTCTCAGAAATGCAGCATGTGTTTTGAGGGCTATGCCACGAAGGTTAGGTGTCATTTCTAGAGAACATGATGTGGACTATGTAAATCACTGCAGGAAATCTGCTTTTTAAAAAATTATTCATGTTTTAAAATTGTGATAAAATATACATAACAGAAATTTTACCATTTCAGCCGTTTCTCAGTGCACAGTTCAGGGGCATTACGCACAGTCACTTTGTTGTGCAGCCATCACCACCATACCCCCCAGAGCTCTTTTCATCTTCACAAACTGAAACTCCACACCCATTAAACACTAACTCCCCGTCCCCATCCCCCATTCCCCCCCCAGCCCTTGGCACCCACCATTCTGCTTTCTGTCTCTATGAACTGACTAAATACTTCATGAATGGAATCATACAGTATTTGTGTTTTTGTGACTGGTTTATTTCACTCAGCATAATGTCTTCTAGGTTCATCCGTGTTGTATCATGTGTCAGAATGTCCTTCCTTTTTAAGGCTGAATAACAGTCCCTTGTGGTCTGTGCCACGTTTTGATTACCCATTCATCCATCAGTGGACACTTGGATTGTTTCCACCTTTTGGCTGTTGTGAATATGCTGCCATGAAAAGCCAACTTTTAATTTCTTAATGCCAGGCCACTGAGTATTAACTTGATTTGAGATAAAACCTAAAAGCCAAGGTTGATGTGTTAGGATTGCTTTGGTTACAAGTAACGGAAACGAACTCAAACTTGCTTAAACAAGAAAGGGAAGGTTTTGGTTTGTATCAGTGAAATGTCCAGGATGCTGGACCCAGGGGAACTTCCCATCGTGTGGCCAGGGACAGGCAGCACTCTGGTTGGCCAGGCCTGGGACATGTGCCCACCCCCTCTCACAAAGACGGAGAGAAAGAGGGTCCAGTTGAGCAGGCATATCGGACAGCTGCACTCTGCACACCTCATGTGTGCCAGGCATTGGCCAGGGTCCCATGTACGTTAGTCATTGTGGCAAATCCTCAGGGGAGAGTTTTGTCCCTGTTTCAGTGAGGACACTGCAGGCAGAGAGGTTGGTACCTTGTGAGTCTCGCCCAGCAGCAGGGCTGGCATTGGAACCCAGTGTACATGCTCTTTCACCAGCCCCCAAACCCTGGGCAAGGCCAAAGCTTTGTGCTGGGACAATTCTCATTAAAAAGTTAGATCTGTGCCTAAAAAGGCAGGCATCAGCTTGTGTTCAGGGATTGATTCCAATAAGCCAATTAGGCCTGCTGCAAAGTCCTTGTACTGTACGTACAGAACTTGAAAAACTGTAAACAAGAACTCAAGAATGAATTGTGTAAGCAGTTTTTTTTTCCATTTATGAGTGTATGCTTTTTGTTGGTTTCAAGAAAAAATATAGTCTTTGACGAACTTTCCTGTTTTGTTTTTTTTCCTGATTTTTAATCCGCATTGGCATTGTCCTTGACAGATGGTGATTCAAACTTTGCTTAAACATCCCCCAGTGATGGGGACCTTTAATGTGATATTTTCCGGGCCTCTCTCATGAGAGTCAGAGCAAAAGTCCCAGGGCTGACTCTCACTGGCTCTGATTGGCCCAATGTGGGTCATGTGCTCACTCTTCAACCAATCACCATGGATAGTGAATAGTACGCACATCGGTATCTAAGGGACTATGCTGAGGCAAGGAAGGAGGTTCCCAGAAGAAAAGTCAAGGTGCTATGGTTGGAAAAAAGGTTAATCAATACTGGCCAAAAAATAACGGATGTCCACTGCCCACGTGTTATCCATCTTCAATTCAGGTATGTGTTGCCTCTCCAGCCAACCCTCGACTCACAGAGGGCAGAGACCCTGCCTCTTGCCCCCGTGGCTTCTAACCGCACTGAGTCCTCGTGTTGACATAGCGTTTCTCTGTTTCTGAAGAGCTTTCACATGTATATTTTTTAATTGTCAAAACTACCCTGTAACAACAGATAACTTGTGCGAGCCAGGAATGGGTTATACTGTGCTGATCGCTTAGCCTTTGAGTGTCCAGGTGGTGTCCAGGGCCACCAGTCCCCACCAGGTGCCTCTTGACCACTTGCTGCCACCTCAGTTTGCCGAAATTGTTGTCATCAGCGTATTGTTTACTTTCTGTGTGTGCCATGTCTTGGGATAAAGGTTGGAAACATGGCCCTGTGGTTTGTAAAGTCTCCTCAGATCCTCACAGTATCACACTAAGCAGATGCTGTTAGCTCAGCTCGCAGAGGGAGACATTGGCATCAGAGGGAGAAAATGGCCCGGGCGTTCGTTGGAGGAGGTGGTGGGATGGCTTAGCTTATGAGAAATAGAAGGAGGCTAAGAGCTGCAGGCCCCTGTGGCTTCGGACAAAAGTCAAAGTTTTAAGCGTGACTCTGGTGAAAGAGCCACAGCCCCGTGGCTCCAAATTGAGTGAGGATCAGGAAATCCTTGTGCTGCTGAAAATCACGGCACCTCCTGAGCTGAGCCGGGTACTAACGCTTTCCCATACTTGATTTCACTTAGTCCTCAGCACAACTCTCAGAGGTGGGGGTTATTATACCCATTTTATTGAGGAGGAAGCTGAGGCTCAGAGAGAGCGAGTAACCTGTCCCAAGTCATGCAGCCGGTCGGCGGCAAAGCTGGGATTCAAACCCAGGTCTTTATGACCCTGAGCCTTGTGCTTTGCTCCCAAGTCCTGGAGATAGAGCCCCCACCCCGCACCTTGGTATTAACACCTGTGTCCTCTGTTCCCCTCTGCAGGTCTACATCATCCGGGTCACGTGGTCCAGTGGCTCTACCGAGGCCATCTATCGGCGCTACAGCAAATTCTTTGACCTCCAGGTAAGGACTTGGGGCCTCCAGTGAGCCGTGGGGTGAGAAAGTCTTTCATTAGACTTACTTTCCATTTTGGCTTCAGAGCCCCGACCCTTTGGACGTACAGTGGACGTACCGTGTTCTTTTTATTTCCTAGAATTAAAAATGACATCCATGCCCTCACTTCAGCATCACATGCGCTAAAATTAGAACAATATAGAGAAGACTAGCATGGCTCGTGTGCGGGGGTGACAGGCACACCTGTGGAGTGTTCCATGTGGAAAGAAGAGAGAGGTCCACCACTCCTGTGACATTAGGAGTGAGCTTTACTGCTTTCTGCTTTGGCAGTCAGTAGTTTCCAAATAAAAGAAAGGCTGCTTTGTGGACTGCTCCAGAATAGAGGGTGATCTGGAAATCTGTGGCTTTGGAGTGCAGAACTTGAACTTGTGAACAGTCATCGTGTTTGCTGCTAAGCTCGGTTTGTGGAGTGTTTTCAGAATCTTTGGAGCCATTCGGCTCTGAAGACAGGCCCACATCTCCAGCCTCACCTTGATCTCCCGCTCGGCTCCTAAAATGCCTGCTGAGCTCTGAGGGGCACCACGCTCACCCTCTCCCCTGGGCCTCGCGTTTGCCCTTCCTCTCCTGGGACACGTGTGCCCTCCTAACCCACTCGTTGGCTCGGGCAACCCCTGCTGCCCGTCAGGACTCTCATCCTCTAGGAAGCCTGGTCTGACTCTTCTCTGGCCAGCGAGGGCTCCCTGTTCTGCACCCCAAAGCTCTGTGTCTCCCTCTGTCCTGACTCTATTAAAGTTGTCTGCTTGTCTGCCTTCCCCTCTAGACTGGGACTCTGAGGACAGGAACCACATCTTCATCATCCTCTCTCTCCTTCATGTTTTATTCAAGGATACAAATGTGTCTCGTCTGGTTTGGTGAATGAATGAATGAATGAATGAATGAACCACCACCATGAGCGTCACCAGTCTCATAGGGTGCCAGGCAAATGTGGACAGCTCAGTGTAGGCCCATCCCCACTGGGGTAAAAGAACGCCAATCCGTGGGGCAGTAGCTTTATCTCGATGTCATCAAAAGCCAGCAACTCTAAGCAAGTGTGTCTGTATGAAAAGTCACAGTGCCCAATATGACGTAATAAAGTTCTTTAGCAAACATGGGCCTCGGGAGTAAATGGGAACTTGCCTGGCTTCCTGAACCCACAAGTTCTCCTTCCTGAACCCACGAGACAGTGGTGAGGGACCCGTCACCTCCTAGGCCAACACAAGGCCTCATCCTGAACCAACTGTCTTCCATTCCTCTGTGTGCCAGTTAGGATGCCTCAGTTTCAAGTGACAGAAACCCAGCTCAAACTGGCTTAAGTAAACGGGGGTGCTGTGGCTGGTGCAGCTGAATGTCCTAGGAGAAGAAATGTGGTGGGCTTCAGGCCCAGCTCGATCCAGGGTTTCCCACTGTGTCCTTCCACCCAGCTCCTTCCTCTCATTCTGCATTCCTCCCTCCATGGTGTTGGCTGTATCCTCAGATCCCACATGATTACAAAAGCTCAGGGCTCACACGCAGCAGGAAAGAGTGAAAGGTCACTTCCCAGGAGTCCCAGCAAACATGGTGGTGTGTTTCACGGGCTCATCCCTAAGCCTGTCAGGATGGTTGAGAAATGTGGGCTTCTCTGGGTCCCTACTCTGCCCCCGGAGTCCGGGTGGGGACTGAGACCTGGAGAGAACAGCTGTGATCGGATGTAAAGCAGGCATTGCTGGGCCGGCAGAAGACAGCCCTTGTCCTCCCCACACCAGGCTGCCTCTCTGCCTCACTTGTTCTCTCTGAAGCTTGGCTGATGTTAAACACAGGCATCCTTGGTGGTACGGACCTAATCTGTGCCTGAAAATGTCCAACAGAGAATTTTCAGAGCCTGTGTTCCATTATTTTAAAGGGGGAGGGGCAGTAACAATGTGTTCCTAGCCTTTTGCCCAGATATCTCTGAAACAATCTCTAATGCCTTCATAACAGACTGCCAAGAGTCATTGTGTAATGTAAAGCAGTTGAAACACCAGTTACCTCAGTATTTAAAATGTAATAAACTTTTGTATTCACTATGTAACAAAATCATATGATCATATACAAATTATGTTTTTCTTCTGGTCTGCAGCAAACAGGTACTGAATGTAAATATACAAAGAGGCTGCATGTTAAAGATGCTAAGATCCTGTCTAAAATGGACGTGGCAGGAGCAAACACGGGGCAGGGAAGGGCTGAACCCTGGGGAAAGGAAGGGCAGATGACGGCGGTGAGCCCAATGCCTTCAAACGCCATGAGCAGGAGGCAGTCCTGGTTAGAGTGACCGAGGTCCACTCCCGCTTACCCAGATCCATTACAGCAGGTCGTCAGTTCCAAGAGTGAACATTGGGTAAACATTTTACTAGTTGCTAGACTGGCTTTTCATGCACTGAGGGTGTGCGAAGGGAGGGCTACCTGTATTTTGCTTCCAGGCGCCTCTTGCTTGCATGACACCTCCAAGAAAGGACGCAGGGGGCAGAGGACACTGACAGGTATGATTGCTCTCCTGGGGATTGTGGACACCCACAGAGCAAATGCCCACTCGGCTAGCTCAGGGGGAAGAGAGGTGTAGGGACAGATTGATGGCAGGAGGCAGGTATCCCCATGGAACCCAAAGTAGGAAATGCAGCTGACCTCACGTGCTCAGAACCGGCGACAGAATGACCCTCCGAGGCCCAGCAGCTCCCTGGCTGGGTGTCGCTGTGGCTGCAGGATCTCCCGAGCCTGCTTCCTTTTCCCAGCAGCCTCTACACCAGTTGAGAGAGTTGGCCCAAGTGTGGAAGTCTCCTTCTCTGTTGTCAATGCACTGCAGTTTCCAGATGCCAGTTCCGGTCTCCAGGGGAAAGAATCTGATCGTCCAAGTCCTGGGTCAGAGCCAGCCCCATGCCTGTCAGCTGTGGCCAGAGGTGGGGGTTGTTTGTACAGCCTCAGCTGGAGGAGTAGTTTCAATGAGAATGGGGGTGGGGAGGACGCCCTGGGAGCACTCAGGGAAATGGCAGTGTGTGATGAACTTGACTGTGTCATCAAGTTCCCTATTCCACGATAGCCCAGGGCTTCAGACCTTGACTTTTGGGGCTAGACAGACCTGGTTCAGGTCTCAGCTTGGTGTCACCTCTGTATGTTTCTGAGCCTCAGTTTCCCCATCTGCATATTAAGAATGAAAGCACTTCCCTCGTGTGTCTATTGTGGCAGGGTTCTGCCTTGCTCAGTAAAAGCGTGTTAGCTGTCATCTGTTGCCCCTCTGCTGAGATGGCACTTGCCCGAGGTGACATCGTTTGGGAAGGCTTGCCAGGGTAGGATCATGGGCTCTCTGGCCCAAAGCCTGCACTCCCTCCCTCTCCTGTTCTGACTCAACTTTCTAATTTTTACCAGAACTTAAAAGTGAGGTGTTTTTCCCCACTCTGAATAATTGGTAATAATTGGGGGTTTGCTGTAACGTAAATAGCTGCCTCACACTGCCCTCCTGAAACAGTTGTCTAAAGACAGGCTTCAGCCGGCTTTTAAAGAATCCCAGATGGGCGGCTGGAATGGGAAAGTCATGGAATTCCAGAGGGTCCTGCTGTCCTGGAAATGGCCTGCCTGCCACCCCCGCACCCCAGAGGGGGAAACTGGAAGACGGCAGGACCGAGAGTCAGCTGTTCCCAAGGACAAGGCAAGGAGGCCAGCCCATGTGGGGCTGCAATACCCTACAGTTCGATGATTTCATGATTCTACCCTCCCCTCCCTCCTGTCTGGCGAGTAGCCTTGGTTTTTTCAGAAGTAACTTGGCTCAGAGAGTGTGGGAAGGGCCGAGCTTTCGTGGAGGAACAGCTAGGCCAGTGTGGTGTAATGGAAAAAGTCAGAAGACTTGGGGCCCAGCCACCTGTGCTGTGTGGCCTTGGGCATGCCCCTTAACTTTTCTGTGCCTGATTGTCCTCAGTAACATGGGGGTGATGATGATAGAAACAGCTGACATTCCTGG